GGCTCTAGCGCACACTCACACACACAGCGTGTGCCACGGGGGCTTCAATGGCCAGGTGTCTGCAGGGCTGAGACCCCAGCCCAAGATCTCTTCCTCTCCTTGCACCATGAAATAGGTTTCCCAAACATGGTTCCCCTGAGGGACGCCCAGTTCCGAGTGGCAAAGGTGGAGCATCTTCGGTCACCCCCTCCCCTGACACAAGGGCAGGCTGGGTGTGGCTCGCTCACCCTGCTGCCAGCCCAGAGGAGCCGCAGCCTCCTGCTCCCACCCCAAGCCAGCTGTCTGAGGTCGCTGGGCTGTGGCCCCAGCTGTTTGGCCGATTACCAGTGCCCTTTAGCCCCAGCCTGGCCGGGGGTCTTTAGCCTCCCTCCCCGAGGGGTGTTCAGGCGCGATTCTTCTCACAGCATTCCTTAGGGACCTGGCAGCAGGGACAGGGGTGGGAACTGACATGGTCTTGAGTGGAGTGTTGCCCCACCCTACACCATTAAAGATGTTCAATGAGGTCCGCTCTGTGGGATGCCTGGGACTTCTGCCAGAGCCTGGGCCTCGCCCCCTCCCTCCTTCCTCTGCCACTTGCCAGTAGAGGGCCTTCGAGGTCTAGGCCAAACCCCGCCTGTCTCCCAAGGCCCCTTCCCTCCCCCTTGCTGGAGGGCTGTGCTTGCACCACCCTCAGGGCACTATCGCAGGCACCCTCTGCCATGTTTCTTGCCCTCCCTGGAATAGGGGCTCACTGAGGGCAGTCACGTCAGCTGGTTCATCGAACGGTCCCCACCACCCCACACAGCAGTTTGCTCAGTAAATGCTCAGTAAATGCCTGTTGACTTCCTTGAACTAGGCCCCACCTGCTTTGCAGATGCAAATTGGTGTGGGGTAGTGCTGCTTTTGGGGGCCAAGCTGAGGACCTGGGGGGCTGAAAGCCATAGGTGCCAGCACAGCTCTCCCCTCTCGTCCTGCCCTCCTGTCCTTCTCCAGCAGGGGGTGCTCGTTCCCCTTTGGTGGAAGGGCCTGAGCTGGGGCCAGGTTTATGGTCCTGTACCCGCCATAACCCAACTTCCACACATTACGGTTTTTCGTTTTCAGCTCACAGGGTGCTTCAAATTCATTATCAAATGTGGCTCTTAAGTCGGAGGCAGGCTGAGAGGGCCTTATCGTTTTCGTCCTGCAGGGGATGAAACTGAAGTTCAGAGAATGTACTTGTTCCCAAAGTCATACAGCTACCAGGTGGGCAGCCTGGGGACTGGAGCCCAGGTCTTCAGATTCTTGTTTCAGTGCTCCTGGGTCATGACGCTGCACAGTTCTGGCCTGGAGACTCCCTGACCTCCCCGTCTGGCCTCTGTGCAGCCCTGGGGAAGACGGGTTCTTCCTCAGGTGCCCATGACTCGGGTTGCCTTTCCCCCACTCCACTCACCACGGCCTCCTTCTGTCCCCTCAGGCTCTCGCTCCCTTGGGGCCAGCTCCTCAACCAAACAGCCTGCTCGAGTCACCCCCACCCAAACAGAAACAGCACGGCTCACCTGTGCTGCCCGACTATCCCTTCCTGCTACCTCTCCCAGTGGGCCAGATTCCACATCCTCACCCTGTCTTCTCCTCACTGGGCACCCCTGGAATGTGCCCTCTCTGCCCGACACGGTGCTACTTCCTCCGGCTGCCTCTCTGTCCTCCCCTGCTCTGCCTATCCCTGAAGGCCAGCGTTCCTGCCAGCTGTCCCGAGCCCAGTCCCCTCTTCGCTCTCCCTGGAGAATGTGATCCACACTCCTGGTCTCAGGGACCCCCAGACTTCCAAAGCCAAGCCCCTAGCTCAAGCCTCTGCCAGAAGGTGGGCCCAGGGTTTAGGCAGCCAGTCTCTGCTCCGCCAGCAACACAGCCTGCAGGTTAAGTGTGTGCACTCTGGAGCCCAAGCGCCTAGGTTTAAATCCTGTGTGGCTTTGGGTAAGATACTTGAGTGCTCTGGGCCTCATTCTCCTTATCCATAAGACAAGGATTATGATATCTATTTCACGGAGCCTCTGTCAGGCTAAACTGGAATGACGCGTACAAAGGACTTCTCTTAGTACTCACTTGTCCTCTCGCTCTGCAAACACCGTAGACAACTGGTCTACCTGATACTCCAAGCCTTGGAGTTGGTCTAGACTCTTCCATCTCCTTCCTCCTACACCCAGTAGGTCACCAGAAGCCTCCGGTGTTTGTTACCCCTGTCCCTTGCCCTGGCACATGCCCTCCGGAAGCTGCTGGCTCCCTGCCCTCTGTTCCTTCCCCACCCCGTGCCACAGTGGCCACAGCACATCTCTGCTTACACTCCCTGCCCCAGGCCAGGCTCGGATCTAAGTGCCTCTGGCCCAGCCACTCCACGGTCACGCCCCCGCCTGTGTTTCCTTCCTCATCCCTCCACATTTCCTGCCCACTTTGCTCCAGCCACCATGCTGAAGCCTGCTCTCTCTGCCTCCCTGCCTTCATCCACCATAATCCTTCTCCCCAGGGTGCCTGGTTCCCCTCACTCAGCCCACCCTGGCCCCTCCCAGGGAGCCCCGGCAGGTTCAAGGTGCCTCCTACGGAAGCCTTCGTCTGTTTCTCCAGCCGCACTTCGCTCCTTCTCTGGGATCTCACTACAGAGTCAGATTGGGGAAGACCAGGAGCCCTCAAGTGAAGGATCCAGGCCTTTTCTATATCTCCAGGGCCAACCCACCCACTGCCCTCCGCTCCCCACCCCTCATGTATTAGGGCTCCCAGTAAGCATTTGGGAACGAAGGCAGGTGATTGGGCTGGGGGGTCAGAAAGAGGGGAGTATAAGGAGGGTCCTCAGTGAGGGACACGCTCCGCTCCACCCTATGTTGGGCTCCATTGCCCCAAACCCCAGAGGAAGGTGTGCCAGGGATAGAGTGGATTTGGGATGAACGGCGGGATGCAGGGAGTGAGACCCGAGAGTCAGAGGGGTCAGGGAGGCAGATGGAGAGGAAGGGCGGGAGGAAGATGGACGGGAGGGCAGGGACAGGATGGGGGTGCGGGTCAAGGTGCAGGAAGGGGTGGGAAGGGCAGCAGGGTGGGGGAAGAGCCACACACACTTTCTGGGAAGTGGGAGCGGGTGGGGGAGGTGTGAGTAGTGCATTGTGGAGGGAGGAATTCGCCTGCCGGTCACTGTGAGCTCATTTCCTCTCACCGACTCCTGCAGGGTCTGAGGGCATCGGGCTCTGGAAAAAGTGAGCCAGGGGCACCCCAGAGGCCACCACCCTCCTCTCCTCCCCAACAATCTCAGTGCAGTCTGGATTTCAGACGCCACCCCTTGCCCCTTGCAGAGACAGCACTTTGTTATGGGAGGAAAGGACCCCTGAGCCAGGGTGGCAAACAAGCCTTGGACCACTGGAGGAGCTACAGGGCAGAAAGAGGCAGGAACAGGGGACCTGGTTGAAGAGTAAGCAAGAAAATCCAGGCAGTATGATGGATTACAGTTAGACAGCAGGAAGGACTTTCCAGAAGTGGGGGATAATTGTGGCTGCACATGACCTTGATGAGGAAGGGAGAGGAGTTATTAACTGTCCCTCCATCATTATAAATAAGAATCCCTTTCTATTGCCTGCCAGGGCATTTAAAATAAATCAAATAAAGCATATGATTTAAAAACCAGTCGGTATCTCCGTCCTCAGGCTCCCAGGAGTAGGGGTGGCCTAATTGGTGTCTGGGCCACCCCATCCTCTCCAGGACCCGAGTTCCTGACCCCAATCAAGGGCAAAGGGGTGGGGGGTTGGGCCCAACCAGCTGTCAGGAGTCAGGGTGGTAGTGGTGACACAAACAGGTTTCATGAGGTCTCCTCACCACAGGCAGGGGGTGACTCCGGTAGGCAGGGGTGGCCTTCCCACATTCATTGACTCCCCTTTCCAAGTCCTATTTCTATGTATCTGTGGCCTCTGCCTTCATTTCTGCATAATCTGGGAAAAGGAATACAGAAGCCCCTTAAAACTGCAAGAAGGCCTGGGAAAGAGGCACGCATTGGCTGCAGGAAATAAGGAGTAGGAAGAATGAGAATTAGCAGAAAGAACTTTCCAGCAGAAATGAAGGACAGAGGGACTGTCCGTTCTTGGACTGTCAGGGGATGGGCTGGAGGGGTGGGGCTGGAGGTCAGGGAAATAAGAACCCGGCTTAGGACACAAGGTGTCTCTTTGGACCCAGCTCAGAGTGAAGCCAGCGAGGGTGGCTGTGGGGAGCTGGTGACTCGGTCTCTGCTGTCACTGTTGCCCACTGCAGTGGGGGTCTGCGGCTGGTCCTGAGGCCTGAGCCACAGGACTGGCTGGGTAAGGGTCCCAGGAGCCGGGGGCTCCTGCCAGACTCTCTTCCAGCCGCAATCGCCCGCCTCTGCGGCACCCTGCGCTGAGACTCTGCCTGGGAGGGGCTTGCCTAGATTGAGGGGCGGCCCCCATGCACCATAAGTGTCTCGACATCTATGAGTCTCTAAAGGGAGGGCTTCCGAAGCCTTTTTCTGTCATTCCCTCTTTTCCATCCTAGGTCCCACCTTTGTTTCAGACTTCTCTGCCTCTCTCTCTACTCTCCGTCTGGGCTCTGCCTCCCTCATGCCCCCGGGGCCCTTGTGTCTCCGATTCTGACCGTCCCTGTCTGGTTGTTTCTCTTTGCTTCCTTCTCCCTTCCTCTCCCTGTGCTAGTTCTGGCTTCGGCGCCCTTGCCCTCTTTCCTGGGCCCGGATCACCGTCTATCTGGGCCGGTCCCCTCGAGGCTCGTGCAAGCTGTCTCCTTGGGAACCCCTCTCTTCCTCGGGCTCTGTTCTGACCTCCAGCTCTGCTGCCAGCACAAACCCCATTATCAGTCTGCGGCCCTTGGGAGAGGCCGCCTGTGCGCCCCGACGGGAGCGGGGGTGGGGTGGGGGAGGGGCAGGAGCGAGGGGGCGGGACTTGGGGGAACACCGCGCTCGGCCCCGCCCCTCCGGCCCCGCCCCTCCCGGGTCCCTGCCGGCGCCCCTAGCCGTGCCCCGGCCGCAGAGCCGCCGCTGCCGCCCGATGAATGGAGTCGCCTTCTGCCTGGTCGGGATCCCGCCCCGCCCGGAGCCCCGGCCCCCCCAGGTGAGGGCGCTGGGCCAGGGGAGGGGGCGGGGCCGGGCGCTGCCGGGGAGCGGGTAGCCGGGCCGGGGTCGCTGCGCCCCAGCCCGCCGGGCACAGCCTGGAGCGCAGGGCGCGGGCACTGCGGGCACCGCTGCAAGGAACTTCGGCTGGTGTTGGGCAGGGGAGCGGGCCGGGGCGAGAGCTGCCCGGGGCAGGGGGGAGGGAAGGAGGGAGGTAGGTAGGGGGCCGGGACGGGCACCGAGCTGCCAGGGCAGGGGGCGCCGACCAGGGTGACGGTGCCAGGCCCCCCGCGGCCGGGCAGCGGGGGCGGGAGGCCCGCGCCTTTTGTCCGGGATTTTCAGGCGGGGCGCCCGCGCCGTTTCCTCTGCCCGAGTTTTCGCTTTCCGTTGGCGAGGCCCCTGCACAGCTGGAGCGAGAGGGATGGGGGAGGGGGTTCCCGGGGCGGGACGTCCTCCGCCAAGGCGGCCGGACACCCCCTCCCCGCGCCACACTCGCCCCTGCGGGGTCGGAGTGCGGGACCGGCTTCCAGGCACGGGTCCGCCGCCCCGCTGGGTCCCGGGGAAGAGAAACAGGCCCCGGACCCCCGGAGCACAGGCGCGGCTGCCCTCCCCTCTGCCCCCTCCGGCCGGCCGTGGGTGGGTCTGGGCGCGGGGTGCCAGGGGCATTACTCAGCGCTGGGCTGCTTTGCTTGGGTCCTTTCATCTGCCAGCTGCTGAGGCTGGGGAGAGGCCAGCAGGGGCCTCATCCCTCCATCGGGGCCAGTCCCCTGCCTCTGAGCCTGGCCGTCTAGCCCTACTGAAGTACCCAGCACTAACTCCCTGCATCCCAAGTAGAGGGTTGAACACTGTCAGGCCAATGTTTTTCCCGTGCTTGGAAAAGAGGTTCCTTAGGGTCCAGACTGGGGTCAAGGCCCGGGCAGAGGCCTCTGCCTTTTTTGACAGGGCTGAAAGATCTGGGGACCCTCCTCTCTAGCCCTACCCCCAATTTTGGAGGTGGGATCTGGTGCTTTGCAAACTTTTCATGAGACTGGTGTGCTTCTCTGGTGCTGGATGAGTTCAGTTCTCCCTCAGTCTGCATCTCTCTCCCTTCAGCCAAAGTGTGTTTCCTAATTACAAACTCGAAATTCAGGATGGACAGGGGGCGGGGGTGGAGGTCATTAAGCATGAGTCCCTTGGATTCAACCCCCCACCAACTACACATACTTCGCCTCTATCCCCTTACAATCTCCACCCCCACCCAGTGGCCCAGCTGGGGGTGGATGGCTTTTGATTCCACGTGGTTCTCCCCTCCTGCCAGGGCAACGAGCTCCATTCCCCAAAGTGGTGGCTGTCACTGAGATGTGCTCATTGGCATGCGATTTGAATCTCAGTTATATAACCAGTCGTTTTGCCTCCGAACACAGCCCAGAGGTCCCTCGCCCCAGCTACTTCTTCCACTTGCCCACAATGTCGTTGGGTCTACCCCAAGGTGGCAGGGAACTCCAAGGTCCTGAATCCAAGGCCCTGCCTTCTCCTTGGGAACGAGGAGAACAGTAAATCCCCTACATTCAATGCTGGATTCGAGGGCCTCAAAACCCCTGTAAGTGGGCAGGTGTTGGCATCCCATTTTACAGAGAGGGTCTGAGCCTACACAGTGACAGTGCCAAGGCTAGAACCTGGGTCTCCTGATGGTGATTATGGCTTAAGATGAAGTCTGGGGGGGAAAGTTATTAGGAAGGTGGCTTTGTGACACCCTAGGGAATGAGGAAGGCTTTTGTGGATCCCAGCCCAAGCAGAGAAGTTCTAGACCTGGGGACTAGCCTTTGTGCTGGGCAGCCTGGCGGGGCCTCTGTGTTCCCCTCCTCAGGACAACCTTGAACTCACATGGAAGGAGTGCGGCATTCTTGGCGTGGACAGGAGTGAGGATGAGTGCAGGAGTGGGCAGTGGATTGCTTCATCCTTCACTGCAGGGATACTTAGAAGGACTTCTCGATGTGTAAGGTTAAAAGAGAGACTACAAAGCAGAAGGATGGAATAAGTTACAATGTGACGGATTGCAGTTAGATATTCAGTAGAACTTCCAGGAAGAGATTTGTGAGCTGCACTGTCCCTGGCTAGCCTGAAGCATCATGCAGGGAAGTTTTCTCCAGTACAGTGGGTCAGGTGGGTTCCTGTGATGTTGAATTCTGATGTAGAAATCTGGAGATATTTATTGGCCTGCAAATATATTCAAATGAACAGATACATTAGTGCCTGGGGAAAAAATGTGTTTTTAAGGAAGGGGAATTGCTTTAATTGTATAGCTAATAACTAATATAATACATAGATAGCAATTGCTCTGGGCCAGGGTTTATATAAATTACCTCATTTAATCCTCACAATACACCACGAGGTGGATACTATGGTCCCCATTTTACAGTTGAGGGCATTGAGGCACAGAGAGCCAACAGTTTGGCCAAAATCACGTTGCTGGTAGGCTGCAGAGCCAGGCTAGGAGCCCTAGTAATCTGGCTTCAGAGTTGTGCTCACTGTCCAGCTTCTTAGGACCTGCCTTGTCCCACTGTCACTCCCACCCTCAATCTGGGGCCATCACGCACACAGCCCAAGATCAAGGTCAACTTCTCACTGGAATGGAGCTTGGTTGCTTATCTTTCTGCTGGGACAGGGATGGGGAACAGTGGCCTCAGGGGTGGTGAGACCTCAGGTGTCCCCTGCCCCCCATGGTTGGTGAGTGGGAAGCAGCCCCTCCTTTAACCTCCCGCACCCACCCTGCGCCGCCCACAGCACTTGGGCCAGGGCTCAGTTCATTGGTGGTTTCCCTCCAAAGGGACACCAGCCCTGCTCTGTTGGCCGCAGGGGTTCAAAGGTGAGATATTGGCTTGGTCAGGGATTTGGACAAAGCCCGGTTTTAATTATCCTGCTCTCTCACCCTCCCCGGAGCGAGCCATGAATAGGGCATGTGGGAGCTGGTGCTGCCTTTCCCCTAGCACCCCCACCCCTTCAAACAACCCCCGCTTTGATCCAGGGCCCCCTGTTTCTTGTGAAATTGCGCCAACTCGTCAGCAGGGCAGTGCCAGTGTGTACCAGGCAGGCATCGCCTCCCCCACTGTCTCAGTGGGACAGCAGGCTGCGATGGCTTTGGGGTGGGCTTTGGGGCGAGTTTACAGCCCTGTGGGGGTGGGGTGTATTCATCACCTGTTAGAGTGGATCAGGACCAAAGGGGTCATCTTGTCCAACTCCCTCCTGCGGGGAGACATGCCAGCAAGCACCGAGGTTCCTTAGCCGTGGCAGACGAGAACCCAGGTCTTCTGACTCTCAGGCTCCCAAGCCATGCCTTTCCCTCCACGGCTGCCTCTGTCCTTGCTGGCCCCCTCAGTGCAGGCTTCTTGGACTGGGCCCCGAGAGGGAGAGGGGAGGGCAGGGAGGAGTAGGGACAAGTGGACAATGTGTCCTGTTCATCTCTGTGTCCCCAGTGGCCGGCACAGCGCCTGGCACAGAGCAGCTCTCCATAAATGTTTGTGAAGTACAAACCAGGCAGCGGCCCCTCCCCTGGCCTCCCAGGGCATTCCATGCCAACTCTATCTCTGGCATGGTGCTGGGTGATCTGCATGTCAGTCTACCTCACCAGACTGGAGTTATCTGGAAGCAAGAAAAACCATAATGGCAACTGCTTCCATAGTACTTACCACTAGTAGGTACATCACCATCGCCCCATTCGACAGATGAAAAAACTGGCACAAAAAGATGACATGGCCTCCTAATGTCACACAGCAAGTAAGTGGCAGAGATGAGGAGTTGACCATGCTCTTAACCTCATTCCAAGGGGCCCTAGAGATGTCATTTTTGTCTTGGTATCTACAGGGCTTGGCACACAGCAAGTACTCAGAGAATGTTTGTTGACTGACTGCTGACTAAATTTACGAATGATGGGACAGTGTATGGAAAAGCCACAGAATCTTGTAACCTAACTCTTTGGAAGTAGGTGGGGTTGGGCTCTTGGGAAGGCAGCCTGGAGGTGCCTCACGGTGTTATCCACAACAACAGTCCCTGAGCCAAACCCAGAGAGGAAGGGAAAGCTCACCCACCCATACCCTGTCCCCTGTCACCACTGCCTCCAAGGCTTGGCAGGGGCCACCAGGGTTCCTCCCGTCTTCTGGCCTCTCTTTTGCTCTCACTCCCTCCCTCCTTCCCCTAGAGTTCTGAGGGGACAGTGATGAGGAAAGGGCACATGGGAAAAGACTACAGGTTGGCATGAAGAAGTCTGTTTGTTTTTTCTGTCTCTGGCCTGAGACGTTCAGTTCAACTCAACACCTGGTAATGGAAGATTCTGTCCCTTTCAAGTTGGAAGGTGGACAGAGCCTGGTTTGGGGCAGGGTCTGTCCTGTCAATTCTCCATCTCTCACAAGAAGGGGTGTTAGATTTCTTGACCACCTCCAGTCCTAAACCTTAGGCCCAGGGACATCTCCAACCTTCTTGAACCCTTATGCACCTGAGCAAGTGACCTCTTCCCTTCTGACTCCCTCTGCCCCCCATTTGCTAGTTTGAATGAACATTAATCAGTCACTATCTCCAGGCCACACTTCATCTGCTTATAAAGGTGGGTACACAGCTGGCTAGGAAAAAAGAGGGGTGTGTGGGAGGTATGGTCCACTGTTTAATGTAGACAGGCCAGCCATGGGAGCTGAGGGGCCTGGGCCTGGTGTGGTCCTCAGTACCTGGGGAGGTAGGAGCAGCACCCTGTGGTTGAGCATATGGGCCCTGCCTTTATCCTGCTGGGGTTCAAATTTCAGCTTTACCCCTTATTCACTGTATGACCTTGGATAAGTGACTTAGTTGTTTGGCTTCAGTTTTCTTATTCCTGAAATAATCCCTCAAAATAATTGGGAGGACTAAGTGACATTTGGTAATCTTAGCTATTGGTAGCAACTATTATTAAACAAACAATAATCAATAGATAGAAATGAGAACATACTTTTTTTTTTTAATCCAACCCCTAAATGGAACCAGAGCAACACACTTTTG